TGAAGATTTTCTTATAGAATGGAATGCGCTCTTCAATAATAAGTTGGAACCATTCGGTCTGAATTGAGCAAAGTGTGCTTAAATCCATCTGAAAGTGGAGACAAAATGTCTTTTTTATTGGCCCCCCTGTACATGCACATTCGAAGCGGCGTATGAATGCAATTCGGCCTATACAGTGGCTTGCGGGGGTCAGACGATGTATAAGTGAGTGTTTTCATCGTCCCAGACAAGTTTGGTACCAATTAACCAAGACCGCGGCGACGCACGACCCAGGATTTGATTCCCGGACGGCGAGTGTGGTAAGCGTGCCACTTGCCACTACACCACTGCCGTCCAGGCGTAGGCTAGCGGCACTTAACGCTATAAAGGCCGAAGGTCAATGACACCAGGTGCCGAGCCTGTGGCGAGGAGTGGAGGTCTACCGTGGGAAGCTTTTCCTGACGGCTAAACAGTTAACGAACGGCGGAGCTGACTCCTCCAAAGCATTTACTTCAGCTTTAGAGAGACACCAAGTAGTTGCTTTGGCAGTTTGGCATTTCTGTAGCTAACTGAGGGGAGCTACTCAGTTTCGCCTACATTGTTGCGACCCTCGGTGATGTAATTCCACATCATCCTCCAGGCACCCTGCCTTCAAGGGTATCCCTATGACGTGTGGATGGTTCCATATAAAGCGAAGAGGGGTGCGTCAACTGAACTGGTTCCTAGTGACTTGGCGCTAGGACGTTTCTAGCGAGGACTTATCAAGACTTGAGGAGGATAAGTGATAACACATCTAATCAATATGCACACATAACATACAACGGAAGGGGTCCCGTTTCTCGGGTTCTGGGCCGTTTCTCGTTATTTTGTCTTCACAGTGCCACTGATTATCTATACACTAATTCTAATGGGCTCCCTTCTGATCGATTTCAGTGGTCATAAGGCGCTGTTTAGAGAGTATTAGAGTGTTTAGGGAGAAATAAAAAAGACATTTTGTCTCCACATTCAGATGGATTTAATCACACTTTGCTCAGCTCAAAGCGTGTGCTCCCAACTTAGAATTGAAGAGCGCATTTCATTTATAAGAAAATCTTCATAGTGGCCACGTGGACGGCATCAGAAAAATTTGCCCGGAAACATGGTGCACTGGTCGAGCTCAATGGGGTCTTCGAAGGATCGTGTACCATAACGACCTTTACTGAAAAGCTAGTTTCGAGGGGATTTGCATAGTGGGAGCTAATGTCTCTAGAAACTATCCAACATTGAATCGATTCACGAAATTATGTAAGAGCTTCAGGCTGAAGCAGTTACGGTAGGCCTCCTTGAGCTGACGACGGTGACAGATGACGTCATATTCTGAAGACGGTGAGGGCAGTGAAGGAGGGCCTGCGTTACTTATAGAGGGACATTAGGGAATACTTTGCTGAGGAACTTCCCGTCAACGACGGCAATCTCTGCGAAGAAAAAAGGGCCGAAGTGCGACATGGGCAAAATGTCTTTTTTTTGCCTCCCCCCCGTATGATCCACACTCTCCACCTATCCGGTTTTCACTGCTGAACTCTATCGGATTTTGCCCGGTAAAATTTCCGCACAGAGCCTTGTCACCGTCAGGGCTTCAAGCTTCCAAGAGGCGAGACCTCAAACCAAATTTTGTCTGTGACGTGCCAAAAAAATCTCGAAGCCGTTCGAGCACATCAAATGCTCCAAATTTGTTGGGATGCACTCCTCGATGTATCCTATCGGAGCAGCATACGCAAGAAGAACGGGCACAATCTTCAAGTGACAGAACTTTGGGATTAACAGTGCCTACATGATGATGATATTTAGGAGAAGGGCTATTTTTTTTACTAGAACTGACAAAACATCTTTCAGAGGCGTTTCCAAAGGCGCTCCAAAAGACGGCTGCTCTACTGGTCTCTCAGAACTACGATCAAATGAGATGTCTGAAAAAATCAGGGTTAATCATGTACACTCGACGGGCAATATGTTGTTGTTAGCGGCAAAGGTGAAGCAGTGGCTAGAGAATACCCTTAGGTATCAGTTGGCCTACAATTTTAGCTTTTAGGCTCCGTGTTCCAGAAATGTCCGCGTAAATTCATTAACCGAAATGGTATTGTGCACGAATCGCGATGCTTCTAGCTTCCTCTTGTATCCAAGAGATTTAGCATCATCCTTATAATGAGACGAGAGAGAGGAAATTTCGTATGTTCCGTGAACACTTGCGTGACTGTAGTGGTGGTTACTCGGTTCCATTCTGCCGTTTAGTGTAAAATCTTGGGCGGCAGGACATTTGGCTCTTGTTGGGTGTCGCACAGAAAATCTCATAGAGCGTTCCTTCGCTGCAGTGACATTCAAGACTTGCCACTGCTTCTGGTTTCGATCTAGAATGCGAGTTGAACACGCTGACCAAGCGTTGCTAAGTTGTCCTGGATTCCTTCTATGGAAACTAGCAGCATTAACATGGTTACCCATCGCGTACTTCATCCCAAGAGTTGCTTTGGCTTCGCCCAGGTGTCCGTGGAGTGCCCCAAATTGTGAGTGCAGTTTTTGAAAGTTTGTTACCTTCCAGAAACACAGTTTTTATGTATGAGGTCCTGCACCTTATCTTTTATGGGTTAAAGATACATAACCATCTTTGCTCAAAGGACACCAAATGTGCTTCAGTGGTATCAGGCTGATTGCAAGAGAACCACTAGTCAATGGAAAGTGTTCTGCCTTCCGCTGAAGAATTTTGGGGCTTCAGCGTATTTTTAGCGAACCCTCTAGTCAGGGATGATAAATGTATGCTAGTAGTCATCGTAATCGTGTTGATGGACTACTGCCCCAGAAGGGAACGGAAGTCTCATAAAGGTGCTCAACCATCAAACGAGGTGGTTCGCTCTTCGAAACTTCAGACCAGGTACGCACTTCAATCCCTTACTATTATCCTGCATTTAGCAAATTGTCAATGGGTCACTGCAAAGAGCGGTGGCTTTCTAGACCATCTTGTAACTCTGTGAGGACACAGCGCTTGATGGGGGGGGGGCATTTTATTTGGAAAGACAGTTACCGATGGCTCATGCGAATTCAGGGGCGATAAACAAGGACTTTTCGCCTCCAGACTCAAATCGTAATTCAATTTCCCGTCAGAGCTCGTGCGCTCCCAACTTTAAATTGTTAAGAAGGCGCTTTCATCATAGCAGCCATCTACGTGGACGGCATCAGGAAAATTTGCCCCGGAAACATGGTGCTCTGGTCGAGCTCAGTGGGGTTCTCGACTGATCGTGTACCGTTACGACGGGTTCCGAAGGGCGGGTTCCGAGGGGGTTTGCATAGTTAGAGCTAATGTCCCTAGGAAACTATCCCACGTTGAATCGATCCAAGAAATTATGTAAGAGCTTCAGGCTGAAGCAGTTACTGTAGGCCTCCCTGAGCTCGATGACGGTGACAGATGACAGATATTTCTGAAAAGACGTGAGCGGTGGTGACGGAAGGGCTGGTGTACTTTAGGGAATATTTTGCGAGGAAATTACGTCATAGACGGTAATGTCTGCGACGAAAAAATGGCCGAAATGCTACCTGGGCAAAATGTCTTTTTTCTGGCCCTCCCTGTATACAGAGGGGGGGGGGCAAAAGAAGAGTGACTTCCCTCCACTTTCAAAAAGGGTTATTTGCACTTTGCCAAATCCAAGCAGAGCCCAGCAGGAATCTGTAGAGCTTATTTTGTCTATCGAAAATCTTCATAATGACTTCCACACCGACGGCCTCAGAAAACTTTTACGGGAACAAGGTGCAAGGTACGAGCTCAGCGAGGTCGTCGAGGGACCACAGACCATTACGACGTCATCTGAAATTCAGGTCAAAAGCGGCCCAGCGTATTCACAGCTGTGTCTCTAGAAAGTCATCCATCGGTCAACCTATTGAAGAAATATAGTAGCAGCACGCCGAAGTGATAACGTTAGACCCCCCTTTAGCTCGACGGTGATGGCAGATGACGTCATACTGAGAAGAGGAGGAGGGTAATGAAGAGGAGCTTGCTTCTGCTAATGGGTGGGGGAGGGATGGATATTTGAGGAATATTTTGCCAAGGAACGTTCATCAACAACGGCACCCTGTGAAAAATTTGATGGTGTGCATCATGATCGAAGGACCTTTTTTGCCCCCCCCCCTCTCTGTATACTACCGTTCGAGTTACGAACGACACGTTCTGCATACGGCAGGGTTCGACTGCGATTTCCCAGGCATTGTGCTTGGCAAGTGCCTACTCAGACTCCACGTGCTTCCCTCAAGTCAGCTTCCTCTGGTGCTCGCGGCTGCCTTCGACTTCTATCGGAGTTTGAACGTTCTGCTCATAACTCACTTTTTTGACCGCCAGCTGAGACGCAGAGCAGCAGTGCACAAAACAAAACAAAACTCATCACAACCCTGCCTAACTTTCGAGGGCGGGAGTTCAGCAGCCTAGATGGGATCGCCTCACATATAACCTCCCCTTCAAAAAGCGAGAAAGTGTCGGGTGCAGACCAAACACCACAACTGACGACGGCCTCCAAGTAAATCTGGTTAGAAGTTGTTCATAGTGATAGCTGATTTCTGGTAAATGATAGTTGTAATTAGTGACAATCGATAGAATACAACTGCAACAGGCTAATCATTTCATTGGCAGAAAACATTAACATTTTGTGAAGGCCGTCGTCACTTGTGGTGCATGGTCTGCACCCGACACTTTCTCGCTTTTTGAAGGGGAGGGTAGATTGCGCCCTTTTATGGAACTCTTCTATAAATTGATAAATCTTTATTAAATACTCTTCGGTACATAAACAACATCGCAACTTATGGCGCAGTGAAGAACAGGAAGTAACGGTGAGCGAGATCATCGTCATCGTCAATAGAATACATAATTCCACATAAAAATAAACATAAAATGTCACAACTGATTGCTGAGTCCTTTTAAGGAAGATGAAAGCATGTTTGGCACACGGGATTATTTCTTCTGAAACAGAACCGCATAAACGGCAGCACACGTGGCTAGCCGGAGGCCTCTACTAGCCTTTCCTAACCTTGCCTGACGAATCGCCCTTCTTCACGGCTGCGCTCGATTTCCGCACATTTTGAGCTGACGCTTTGCCGACATCACTAGCCTTCTTCGTCAGAGGCTTGCCGCCTGGTGCGGCTGCCGTGGACTTCTTCGACATCGGTTTCGCAGTTGTGGGAGTGACCGACGAAGTCTGTGATATCTGGAAAGGCCCCAACTTACATCCGAGTCTGTAAAAGTACGAAAAGCCATTACCTGACGAGTTGGCATACTCTTCTTAGCCGCGACGGCTTGCGCGTCTGAGAATGCAACCCCTTTCCGCATCGGTTCCGTAGGCTGTGAAGGAGCAAGCGTCGTGAGTGGGGAAGACTGAAATCATCAAGGGTCACTATCCAAATTAGGTATTACTCTTACGCAGCAAGGAAACTTAGTGAGACCATTTAAGGATGGCATGTATGCTCGGCTAGACCCACCTGCAAGAAGTTCGACGGCACTAGACCCCGTAGCCCGTTCAGCTCTCCCATGTAGAAACCGTCGTCGTCCATCTCCCCATAAACTGTGATGATGTCTCCTTGCCGGAAAGATAGCTCCACCTGCAAAGCAAAATATACCAGAAGCAGTCAGGGAGAAAAGACCACAACTCACCTGCTCGGCGTCCACGTTCGGGCTCAACTGACGAGAATCGTAGTCAAACTTTGCCACCATTTTCTTTGTCGGTACACCATTTATACTGCAATAACAGAGATCAGCCCACTTATAATTTTACGTAATGATTCATTTGATAACTACCTACCCCGTATCCAACATGCCAGGTTGCATTCCAGTTGACAGACCAGGTAACATCTGAGGCACCTGCTGAGCTGCCGTTGGTTGCATCGCCGATGTTGCCATCTGCATTTGACCCAGCTGGTGGGCCAACTGAGCCAATTGAGGCTGACCACCATGGTTCTGACCCGGGCCAGGCTGTTGTGACGGAGCCATCGGTTGTGCGGTACCCGATGGACCAGCAGTGGCTTGGTCGTACCGTTGTGCATAAGGATCATAGTGCCGATCTTCTCGGTAGCCTTCATCGCGGCGATCTCGTCGATAGGATTCCTCTCGCGGGTAGTCGTGTCGGCGCTCATAGTCCCGCCGTTCATCACGTCGTTCGATATCCCGACGCTCTGCTTCTCGACGCTCCACTTCTCGCCGCTCCACTTCTCGTCGTTCCACCTCTCGTCGTTCTGCTTCCCGTCGTTCATCCCGCCGGTCTTCACGTCGTTCATAGTCTCTCTCACGATCCCGTTCTCGTTCATAGCCACGATCTCGGTACTTTTCCGCTCGATACTCCTCATCGTCCCGGTAGTCGCGATGGTAGTCGTCCCGCATAGCTCTGGGATCGCGCATGTCCCGAGGTTCGCGCATCTCTCGATGCTCTCTTGGTTCTCGCCCTTCTCGGTACCAGTCATCGTAGTCTCGCCGGTATTCGTAATCGCGCCCGTTACTCCTGCGATATCGCTCACCCCTTGTCGCTGACACCTCTCGCCTTTCCATTTCTCGCCGATCAAGCGACGATGCGACGTGTGATGTCGCCGGGGGCCTATCGTGAGTCCTCCTGTCGCCTGCGTGATCATAGCTTCGCGATTTTAACGACCCCCATCGCATTCGCCGAAGGGTCGGCTCAGCTCCCGAAGGCACAGCGGCATCCGTTCGGGTCCTTCTCGGCAAAAGGTCATCTTTGGCGATCTCAATGACCATGTTCGATGGCACTAGTCCAACCCGATTGCCAATCTGTCCATGGTAGAAACCGTCAGCATCCACCTCGCCGTACACCTGCAACAAAGCCTTTGCAGTCGAGCCGAAAACAATTGGTCCAAGAAGATACCTTAATCAGCTGATGTTTCCGGAAGGATAACTCGTCCGCCTCCGCGTTCGCATTGGGTGACATGTGGTGCGAATAATCGAACAAAGCCACGAACCTGAACGTGGAGTTTCTGGAAGGAGCTCACCGAAGCAAACAAGCACCACTCACCATCGGCAGTCATCCTCAAGCGTCGGAGGTCGCAAGTCAGGCTCGCTCCTTGTTCCGAAACCGCTTTCGCTCTTCACTCGCGCCAGTCGTGGTGGAACCAATCTAAAATTAACTCATTCACTTTGAACATCACTTTGAACAGGATTCTGTTTATCTAGGAAGATTTAGGAGTGAGCCAGACTTTCGAATGTTATGTCAAGAAAAGAGGCTCCCATTTGGAAATTTGATACCAGTGAGGCCACTCATAGTCACCTTTTCGGAACATGATAGGATTTAAAGGCACAGCACATGATAAAATTACTGGAGCGAACTCACTTCCAAATAAGGTAGTAGGATCCGCAAGAGCGGCGTATATTTATTTATTTATTTATTGCCATCTACCAGCAACAAATGGCAACAAATTTGTTTGGGGCGCAGAACAGCAAATAGAATGCTGGCCCACTTTCTTCTACTATTGAACGAAGCGACTAGACATCAAAATGCCTTAGTAACTTCAGATGAGACTTGAAGGTATGGCACGCCATAAAGCGACTAATCAATCATACGCCCTGCTTTTCTTTATTTTTATCCATAAAATATTCTTTTTGGGCCTGATTTCTTCGTCAATCCAATTATTCAATACACACACTATTGTTCTATCGCGAAGTCTCAAGCTGTAAGAGAGGCTTCAACGGTGTATTGATAAAAACACGAAACTACTGTACAAAAGAGTGGCAAAAGCAATGTAAAAGCGTTCTGTTGAAAGAAAAAAACGTATGCAATACCTTTTCAACTCTTTCGCAAGAAGTTTTTAAGTCTTTCGCAAGGAATAATTTTGAGTCCCAAATTGTGTTTTCGCCTTTACTATAGTAGTACAGTAAGGCAGTTAATAATACAACGTCATCCTTGAAGGTGGAAAGTACGTTTCTGCCACAAGGATTATTGGGTAACCAAAGATCGGATTGGTGTCTGTAGATAGTGCACTAATCAGGGAGGTCTTTCATGTCGCGCCCGTTTTTTTAGAAACCATTTGTTACGTGATGTAGGGGCGCAAACATGAAACACAAAATTATGGTCCCTTTTCCCTGAGCGGCCGTATGAATGTCAAACTATGGGTTTGACAAGCTCATGAACCGTACCTCTTTGACACTACTTTCTGGCAAAAACATACTTATACGGGCTACTGGTGGTCCTTACGATAATAAAGCATTCATTATTAGCCAAGGATACCATTTTACGACTCCATGAAAGCGACAATCAAAAATGCAAAACATTGTCACTACGGAGAATCGAAGACCAACATGCTAGCACTTTTCTCCCTTTTGAGCGTCATAGAAACGGCGTGCAGAAAAAAAAATCAAAACAAGCACTGCCCTATTCAATCAAGCCCCAAATATTACGTTAAAATACCGCTGTCGAAAAGACGTTCACGAAGCACTAAGTACAGCTTAACCTGAAAAAGGTACACACATGAACGCGCCTGACTAGTGAGTTACGACAGAAAGGGCAGCCCGTTCAAATGAAGACTGAAATGGTCAGACATTAATTGTGCAAGCGGAATGAAAAAAAGATAAGTAAACGGCCAAGAACCATCGAGAAATGACCAATCCTCATGATGACACCGTCCGGTATAATAATAACGCTCTTGACTGTGACTTGTCAGTTGCCTGCCTCTTCATCGCTAACCCTCTCTCTCTAAGTCTAAACGGCTAGAGTTAGTTAGTCAGGTAGGCAGCTGCGCGAGCGGCGCGTGTACGGCCGCAGGGGGACTGCTTGGGCGAATCACGCATCGCCCACACCTTACGCTAGGCGGTTAGACGTATTTCCCGTCTTCCGACTCGTACCATTATGCGATCGGTCCGAATTTCAAGAAAATCGATCACACTTCCAACAAGCACGTTAAAGTACGGCTTGAGGTATAGCAATAGATTCAACCATTGGTTTAAGAAACGATTTAGTTTATATAGAGAAGGCAAATGATACCATTGATCGGACTTGAGACAAGCCGGTGATGACAGTAGATCGAAATGGTATGTCTTGTTTTGTGCAAAATGACTGTATGCATCTTCAGCGTATTTCACTGCAGAATCCCTACCACAGAAAACAGTTTGCTGTGTCTATTTGTTTGCTTTTCGTTTGTTTGTTTACTTGTTTGTTAGCTTGCCTGTGTGTTGTCAGCAGGTTCACACGCTATCTACTTCTAGGAAATAGATCCGACATGGTCCGAGCGGGTGGAAAATCGCCTCTGTAATGTATGGTAGGGGGCGAAGCCGGCCAAAACCAGCCACGGTGATGGGTGGGGCCGGACCAAGTGAGCGGTGCGTGCGCCAGAATCGCTGTTTTTAGCAGTTTTATTTAGTTTTTGTCGATTTTTGTGCAGAGGCCTTGAAACAAATAGCAACACACCACTGATTGGGTAGCGCCGTAGAAGCTGAAATTCCATGAAGCCATGCCTTATCAACCAGTAATGATCGAAATTATCGGGTTTTGCGCAGAGCGTCGGCATGGTTAATGAATTGCGCAATTGAGTGGGTAGAAGGCGATCTCGACTCATAAATAAAGGATAAAGGATAAAGCATTTGCCGTTGATCAATCCCTTTTGGGATGCGGCACGCATTCTACTTCCATTTGTACATTCGTAGTGGCGTTTGAATGCGATGTGGCCTATACAATGACTTGCGGGGGCCAGCCGATGAGGGAAACACAGCAATCAAAATGAAGTGAGTTATAGTCGCTGAAAGCTTAAAAACTCGGTTTTGCACGGGAACTGTTCGAACGGGGCAAATTTTTGAAAAAGGGGACAATCACTTAACTTTTTATAATCTTTTGTTAGAGAAATATTTGAAGTTTCTAAAACTTTTTACAGATTTCCAAAATGTCGCATACGAAAGATTTTATGAGCTCTCAAAGTTGGAGGTGCGCCTTCAAAGAATGTGTTCGGCAAAACCGCCCGAAATGTTCGAACGTGGGATTTTCTCGAAAAATGAACTTTGAAAAATGGTTTAGGCTTATTAGAAAGAGCAAAACCTGCTCTTTCACCCCATGGAAAGAGGGAAACACAGCAATCAAAATGAAAAATATACTTTGAAAAATGGTTTAGGGCTTGTTAGAAAGAGCAAATCCTGCTCTTTCACCCCATGGAAAGAGGGAAACACAGCAATCAAAATGAAGTGAGTTATGCTCGCTGAAAGCCCAAAAACTCGCGATTTCAAAAAAAGTGTTCGGCAAAACCCCCAAAATGTTCGAACGTGTGATTTTCTCGAAAAATGAACTTTGAAAAACGGTTTAGGGCTTGTTAGAAAGAGCAAATCCTGTCTTTCACCCCATGAAAAAGTGCATCACAGAAATGAAAATGAAGTGAGTTATGGTCGCTGAAAGCCCAAAAACTCGCTTTTGCACGGAAAATGTTCGAACGGGACAATTTTTGAAAAAGGGGACAATCACTAAACTTTTTATACTGTTTTGTTAGAGAAATATTTGAAGTTTCTGAAACTTTTTACAGATTTCCAAATGTCGCATACGAAAGATTTTATGGGCCTTCAAAGTTGAAGGTGCGCCTTCTTAGAATTTTGGGTTTTCCACTTCTAACAGAAGTACTTTCCGGAGAGTTAGGCAATCCTTGTAGTTTTCTGAAAGCGCACCTCAGGCACAGTCAAAATCTACCTCAACAAGTCAAACAAATACGTCTCAAGAAAGTTACACTCTCCTAAAACTTTTTCTTCGCCGCGTCCCAGTTTTCCAGCGTCCGGGTGATACCTGCCGCGCTCCAAGGTTGACGCCGCAACGCAAACGCTTTCTGCGGCGGTTTCTGACGCAATCATGTCAGTCCTACTCTTCTTTAATCCTTCCTCTTTTTTCAGCTGTTTGAGCAGAAGTTCGTCAGTCTTCATGTTACTTGTTGGATATCCCTCCATTTGGTCTTACACATTTCGCTTTCATCCTCATTTTGGCGTGATTGTGAGCGAACAAAAATTTTGATCTCGCGAGGCTAACCATAAAAAATAGCTTTCATTAGCCAGTGCCCTGTGATTCTTGCTCCTTTGGGGCTCATCTTAGGAGATGCATTGATGGAGAACGTAACTCTCTTTGATTTACTCCCTTGAACTGCTCTTGTGATTCTTTCGGAAGCATGAAGTTTGAAGTTTTGGGCAACATGAAAAAAATATTGAATTTTTTTCAGAAATTCAATGATTTTTTGAAAACAATTCAATTCAAATTTCAGTGAAGATCTCAATATTCAAATGTTCTGTTCATATTTCATGGAAGTTCATTGTCCATTTGAAAACAATGAACTTACGAACTTACGAACACAACATTTGAATATTGAATTCTTTACTGAACATTTGAATTGAATTTTTTCAAAAAATCATTGAATTTTTGAAAAAAATTCAATGATTTTTTGAAAAGAATTCAATTCAAATGCCAGTGAAGAATTCAATATTCAAATGTTTTGTTCTATGTCATGGAAGTTCATTGTCTTTAAAAGGTTTTAGTTCACTGTCTTTGAAGTAAAATGAGTGAAATAAATATTTCACTTAACATTTAGTCAGCACATTCGGCACTTCCATTACCTAAGAGGGGGTCGCAACTGGACCCCCTTGAGATAAGGGGGTGACCCCCTTGAGAAAAGGGGGTCGCAAAAACCCTGAAAATGTTCGAACGTGACGGTTGACCCTGGTTCAAGGTTTTACTTACCTTTTCACCGTCCACGTTGAAGCTCGGCATCCTCCTTCCCGCGGGCTCACGGATTTCCCGCTCCGCACTGAAGTACGAGAATATGTCGCACGCGGCGGCGGCGACTGGTTCCCCCCCCCTCCCATTGCGCCGCAGGTAGTTTACATGGGTTGCTGGTGTAGACGAAAAAGTGCCAAATGAATTTAGTGAAACGACTCTCTTTTCGTGTAAGGTGTGGCCCCGGCGGGAGGTGTATGCGACGTAAACTATCATATCGTAACTGATTCAATGTTAGGCCGATGTCAGACTTTGCGAATCGCGCGATTCGCTAGCGTCCGCGGTCGCGTTGCGGTACCAGCCAATGGCCGATGTCAGACTCTGCGATTGGAGCGATCGGTCAAATGCCAATCGCGCGACCATCGCGCGA